CTCCGGGAGAACCTTCAGGGCCCAATTTTCAGTCCTTTTCATATTTGTAAGCTCAACATCTCAACCATCTATTCGTACCTAATTTTGCAGTCAACCTGCGCCGCCGTTGATGTATGTCGCAAAAGCGATCAAGTTCAACAACCAAATCTTTTCTCTCCCGGGCCATCCAGGAGAGAACTCTACGTACAACCTGCAGTTCAGAGGGCCACGTTTCGAATGTACTACTTCACAGTATAACACTACTTTCGCCCTTGATTATATGCCTGGGAAGTGGGCCAAAGTACCTGTGTTCATATCGGCATGGAATCGAGAGCGCAAGGAGCACTCATTGAGACAACACAGAATTGCTAGCTACGGTGCGCAGCGTAACCCGAATGGCAGCCTGGTCTGGAATGCATACGGTGTGCGTAAAGAACAGGTTTGTAAAGCTAAGTCTGCCCTCTATAATGTCAGCGTCACCTTTCCGCGCGGCGTTCAAACAATTGATTACACCTTAAGCGATGTGAAACCAATCTCGAGTCAAGTCGACGTGCTCGGCGCAAGGGGTTCGTTACAGATCGAGCTTCCGCCAGAACCACGAGCACTTGAAGTTTGGTACCAGCGATTGGCCACGGCTATACCCATTTCCAACGAGTGGGCTATTTTAGATGCGCTGGGAACAATTGTGGAAGGGACGTGTACCCAAGAGATACCAATACCTATGGGGGAAAACGGTCTGCCAGCGTGCCCGCAGAGGAAGAGCTCATCAGGCGCTACCACATCTTATGATTGCGGGCGCTGGCAAACTTTTTCGGTCAGTAATCGTAACAAGACAAATTGGTATTATTACATCCACTAAATACGCAGGGCAACGAAGATCAAGGAAAATATACTTAACGGTACCGTCTTCCACACGGCTCGATTCGAAAGCTCTCCACTCGACTCCAGCTACTACGACGCCTTTTTCGACCCAAGACAATCGCTCAATATCACCGAGCCTATGCTCAACGAATTCCTGGCGAATGTCACTATTTCTGCCATCGCATTAGGTACCTGGTGGGACATGGTACCAGTAACGAGTACGAGATACCGCAGTACATATACGCTCAGCAGCCCGCTCAGTCTTATCCTCCCATACAGCATCTGTATAGCAGCAGCGACTGTCTTTATGGCCATCGCAATCTGGTCGCTCTGGCGTAACCGCGTGCCTGCGGCTGATGGCGGTTTCCTCCAAATCATGACGGCTAGAGTGGGTGATACGCAATTGGGCCGAGCCATACTGGAAGGGAGAGTAGCTGCGATAGACGAAATGTCTGATGAGTTGAAGAGTTTAGAGATTCGCTACGGAAAGTTGATGGATGAGAACACCGTGGGGACAAAAGGCGAACGATTTGGATTTGGGACAGTGGATGAGACCATCTCGCTGAGGAAGAGGAGATAAACGTGTCTAGTACTGGGATCTCTCGTTCGCGCAACAAAACACACCGACTATGTGACTCGCATTCATGCTACTGTATGATGATGATGCCTATCCCATGGTCAGCCCATTAACATCTCCCATCCTAATCCCCACCCGATCGCCTAGCTCGCCATCCACCGGCTCACAAACGGGATAATCACCGCCGCACCAAAATGCGGCAACGCGAACCCCAGCCCAGCATACTTCGTTGTCACCAGTCCGTCCACAAATCCATCCACCGCCAACATCGTCGCCATCAACGCGACGGCCTTTAAATCCCCTCGTTGCAGGAAGATGCCCGCGATGATACCGAAAGTCAAATTGCGACCGCCCATACATTGGACGAAACCGGATGCGAAAGTGTCGGCTTCGATGGGCATGCCAAAACCGGCGGCGAATGTGGTGGGTGCGAGGAGGGCGAAGAGGCCGGTGCTTAGGAGGAAGCCGATCACGCCGTAGTTGGCGAGGAGTTTGAGCTGGGTCGACATTTTGGGGGGATTTGAGATGTATTGAATGTGTCTTGTATGGAAGGAGCGATGTTGTGGTGAGGCAGGTACCTATGTAGGGAGGCTGGACGTGACGTCATGATGTTATTTCCTTTGCCGCAAATACCACATGCATCGATGCGCTTCACATCTGGATGCTACCTTTACTATTGAGCGCACCTTTTGATGCAGCTACCACTCTCAATGGGAATTGTTACTGTTCCATGGTTGGCAAAGTGAGTTCAAGCGCCGATGAGCGTACGGACGTGATACATTGTTCAGGCTGATCAACGCCGTGACGCAAAGAGCGGTGGACCGATCTCAACACGAAACCGATGGAATTACACGAAGCGTAGTCGATGTGTGAAGTTGGGTAGTTGAGTAATCGGACAAGGAGTGTAGTTGCGCCAAGCCTCTAAATTGTGTCGCCGATGAGAAGTAGGGCCGACGTTTGCTTCCCACTCCGCACGTCGACATGTTACAGCTGGCGTTATGCGATATTTCCGGTATATCTTGGTAAAGTGCACTTCCTTAGTAAGACTAGTTCGGAGACTGAATGTCAATGCAGACGGAAGAGCGGTGATGTTAGCAAGGCACCCTTCCTTCCAGCTGTGTTCGAAGGGCGTCCGTGGACACCGTCTCCGAGCTGCTTACAGATGGCGGAGTTTAGGTAGTTGAGCAACAGGTTTTTGATCAAAGGCTTACAAGGTGTGGACAAGAAGCGCATTAGTTGACAGCGGTAAGAGGGTATAAAAGAACAGCACTTCTCATCTGTTGTACCTCTCATCAAACACTACAGTTTCTACATCCAATTACTACCTATCTTCCCAAGACCAAATCGCCAGCATGACTACTCGTTACGCATCCGCCCATCAATCGCCCAACGGCCCCGGTGACCAACGCCCTACGGCCTCTCAGATCATCGCAGATGAGAACCTCCAAGGAAAATGGTCGGACAAGACAGTTCTCATCACCGGCTGCTCTTCTGGTCTTGGTATCGAGACCGCAAAATCGTTGTTCGAAACCGGTGCGACGCTCTTCCTTACGGCTCGAGATCTCAATAAAGCCAAGTCCGCGCTCGGAAGCCTGGTAGAGAGCGAGCGCGTTTACCTCTTGGAGCTCGACCTCAACTCTTTGGCCAGCGTGCGCAAATGCGCCGACTCGTTCCTGGCTCAGCACGATCGTCTCAATGTCTTCATTGGAAACGCAGGTATCATGGCATGCCCAGAAGGGCGCACCGCAGACGGCTTTGAAACGCAATTCGGCACAAACCACCTCGCTCACTTCCTGTTGGTTCAACTTCTTCTCCCCACGCTGGTCAAATCGAGCACCCCAGAGTTCAAATCACGCGTTGTCATGCTTGCGTCCACCGGCCACCGCATGGGCGGTATCCATCTGGACAATCTCAACCTCGAGGGCGAATACCACCCCTGGACAGCGTATGGTCAGAGCAAAACAGCCAACATCTACACTGCAACCGAACTCAACCGCCGATACGGAAGCCAAGGTGTACTAGCGTTCTCTGTCCATCCTGGTTTGATCTTCACCGGCCTCATGACGCATATCGACAAGGAGACCATGGAGTCGTGGGATAAGAACCCCAACATCGGCAAGGCGCTTAAGAGCCCGCAGCAAGGTGCTGCGACTACGGTCTGGGCAGCTACCGCGAAGGCTTTAGAAGACCAGGGCGGTAAATACCTTGAAGAGTGCCAGATCTCCAGCGTACTCAATCCAGACCCTGCATCCGACGAGCCCGGTTATGCGCCTCATGCGTACGATGAGGAGAAAGAGAGGTTGTTGTGGGAGAAGTCTTTGGAGTTGGTCAAGCCTTTCATGGAGTAGAGTGCGCGTCGTCTATCGTGCCTGTATTCGAAGCGCTCCTTTTGCTAGATTCTACATACTGTACTCCCTTAGCAATATACAAACGTGACAAGAACTTGTTTTGGCCCATACTTGTGCGAAGATCTCGCGAATTTTGTGTACAGTCCGTACTACCAACCACGCGAATTGATGATACATGAAGAAGCCACTGTTTCGAAGTGTTCAAAGACGCGGTTGCGCATTAGCACGAAGATTTCGTGAAGTACGGTTCTGAAGGTACGAGACTGCGTTGCGCGTACAGGCTTCGTCACGTGCGCAGAGCCTTCTCCATAGAGTGATGTAGAGTTTTTCGATGTCTCCAGTGCGAAACCCTTCGACGCCGATATTGCAGCTGTGTTAGAGCGTTCGGGACTCTCTGGGGAGGACTATGTGCCGCTGCCTGCAGCATTGGAGCTGTGTCGGGTCCACGGGTCCCGCGGGCTGCAGAGACGGGACAAGGTGGTGGGGACGCTAGCTACGGATGGCGGATGAGTGGGGCACGCGAACCCAACGCGTGGCTGCCAGCTCGTCCGCCTTCTGCTCCCTCTCGCACGCCATAACATCAATACACAACTATCTTCATCTTGTGTCTGGAACTTCTTGTTGCCGACTCACTTTGAAAGATGCGGTTCTCTCTGCACTAGCTCCAGATCTGGGATAACGCTGCAAAATTTCCTCAGACATGGCGCGTCAGGAAACCAGCGGACGGCGCTCACTCCCTAACTCCGCAATGCTCTCCAGCCGCCAACCCGAGTACTGCACCTTTCAATAAAAGATGACAAACGGTTCCATCCGAGTTCAGCAGCGCTGGGGCGTCGGACGAATGTCCAAGGCTACCTAGTTAGGCGTACGTGGACTCCTATTCAACGCGCAACTGAGGATTACTCAGCGGATAGTGTTCGCTATGATGGCGAGTATTGAGGTAATTAGGCCTGGGTGCTTACCGGCCTGGGTGGCCTGAGTGCTTACTGAAGAGCGAGAGTTGACGACAGAAGCAACAAGAATTGCTCGGGCGTAGCCAAGGCCCAACAAAGAATGCACGATCGACCCGTACAAAAAGAAAAGCAAGCTTCTTTTTCGCTGCAAGGGATGTACACAAATAAGGGGTTCTCCCATCACCGACACAGTACTCAGAGACAGCGTGCCTTTCAATATCAACCCAGCTCTCCTGAAAAGCCCTCAATCAACCACCGGCTATGCAACACTTTCGCGCCAGGATGAAGCTCCTGTCCGTCTTCTCAGCACTCATGACCTCGACGTTTGCCACGAATGTTTCGACGGTCTACCAGTTCCCCAACGGCACATGGGCCGAAAACATCGCTACAATGGGCAACGGCTCCCTTCTCGTGACAACCCTCGACACTGCTCAAGTGCTTATCGTCCACCCTCAAGGCTCGCCTGCAAGCTCTTCCGTCATCGCCACCTTTCCGAATGCAACCGGCGCCCTAGGAATTACCGAGTTCCAGGAGGATGTCTTCGCTGTGATCGTTGCGAAGCTAGTCCCCGGAAACGCGACGAATCCACAGAGCTTTTCGTTGTGGAAACTTGATATGACTGCCAGGGATGAGGGAGTCAAGGTCAGCAAGATGTCTGAACTGTCTGAAATGGCTATGCCTAATGGCATGGCGGCATTGAATCACGAAATGTTGCTGTTGGCAGATTCGATGTATGGAAACGTTGCTGCGTACAACGTCAGCACTGGAAGAACGGAAGTAGTTCTCGAGGATCCTAGCTTAGCAGCCAACCTCTCGGCACCTGGCCTACAACTTGGTGCCAACGGGATCAAATTCCACAACGACTACGTATACTACACCAACACCGCCCAGGCTCTGGCTGGCCGCGTTCGAGTCCACCCATCTACTGGCAGACCCAACGGCTTTTTCGAAACCGCGCGCGACGCAACCTTCAGCGGTCCTGACGATTTTGCAGTTGCGAAGGATGGCAGTATGTACGTCTGTGCGCCATTGGCAGCACCTTTAGGCGACAAAATCCATCACATCGAGCTGAATGGCAAAGTTACGACTATCGCTGAAGGTGGATTGGTGGCGGGCTCTACGTCGTCGACATTCGGAAGAACGGAGAAAGACAACAGTACCCTTTATGTGTCTACTATGGGTGGCTTTGGAACGGATGGAACAGCGAAGGCTGGTGGGAGGGTTATTGCGGTAAAGCTGCATTAGTAGTACCTGAGATGAGTGAAGCCCTCGGACTCGAGATGGTGCTTCGGGGGTCGGGGTTTACGACAAATGATAAATCTTTACAGTGGATGAACTTTTAAGATATTTAATCCTAGTCTAAGGCATATACGTTTCAAGAGGTCGTGACTTTGGAACTACTAGCGTCTGTATATAGAAACGGCCGGTAGCAAGGCTTAAAAGTCAAGAGTCTGCAAGCACATCTATTCACTTTGATCGACTGTCTCATATGACCCACTTTACAATGACATAATAGGACATATGACAAGGCCGCAACGATTTGTCAAAGCTACAACTCTGCCACTACACAGTTCTCTCCGGTACATTACTCCCGCTTAGGCAAGAGCTACATGTCCGGCCCCCAACACCTTCCTTTTCATATATCACACAAAGTGCGATTTGAGGGCGCCACCTCATCTTTGCAGCCGATGAATCTCCTCACTACCTGCGCTATTGCAGTTGTCGTTCTCGCGATAGCCTGCATCATGTACAGCTTCATTATTACCGCCATCGACAAAGCCACACACGCCAAACTCCACGCCCCGACAACAGATCGCCGTCACATGCGACGCAAGGCCGTTGGACATAGGGGTAGGCGTCTTGGGGCAAGTAGAACCTTGCTTTCTTTGCTGACAAAGAGCTACATCATAGCCAGCGACGCCAAATTTTTATACGCCCGACAACGAGATCCTCTTAAAGTACATCGTTTTACGAAACAGGAACGAATCAAGTTCGGTATAAGCACGAAAAAGGAGAGAGAGGAGGAACTTCCCGACGCACGATGATGCATGGAGCTGGAATACACAAGATACAAGGATACATCCGACTGGAACGGCGCCCAAGTGGTGAGATGCAAGCTGCATAGATATCTGGAATATTGAGGGGCTATAACAACATCAATGAATGCCATCGTTAGCGTTATGGATTTAACCTCAGGCTTTACCTTCGTCATCGCTGGATAACTCATCATATCATTTCCTTGCAGCGTGTTGCCTCAAGGCGAAAACATCGAAGCCCTTTATCCCGCACGTTCACAGGGCAAAAAGAGCACGGCTAAGCTAGTCGCACGAGATGGGGCAATAAGCTAGAATTGGAGGTGATGTGGTGAATTGCTACAAACCGCTGCGTCGGACCGTAATGTTGGATAGCAGTCGCGCAGCCTCTCCGTGCCTTGCGGCAATATCTACTCTAGCTCCAAGTACAAAGCTCTCAGCCGTTCTTCCCTCGAGACCCACGAACAAGGCCTGATGTCGCACGGCGCTTTCTTCTAGTTGAAGTACTCTAGCAAGTGACGGAGATACCCTTGATAGGGGGGCCAAGAGCGTAGCACTCTCCAGTTATGGTGATATTGGCGAACTGGTTCACACTGGTGCATGTGGCATCTGTCCAGATAGCGACTACATCTCGTTAGCTCCATCTTCGAAGCCCATCTCATGGGTCGAAAAGGAACACTTACCCTTGCAGCCCGCGTTGGCGTAGTTGAGCCTCAAGCTTGCTTGGCAAGCGTCGGTGATGGCATTGCAACCAGCGTGAAGATCACCAGAGCCAGCCTTGTTGCAAATGGTTCCCCTGCAGCCAGCACCAGCATAACGGTCGACGGAGGCAACAGCAGCGACCTGGCGAGGCGAGAAATCGGAGGCAGGGGAGGCGGTGGCCAGGCCGAGGGCGGCGGCAATAATGGTGAGAGCGTACATCTTGGAAGATTGAAATATTGGAGAGTGTAAGAGTTGAAGAAAGGATTTGTGATTGCTGGCTGAAGATGGTCGTAGCAAAGAGCGGAAGGAAAGGGCATTCTTATACTTGTGATCGCCTACAACTCAGAAGGATGACCATCAAGCGAGGCTGCAGTTTTGAGGCATCAGCAACTCTTCGGATCATCGGGAGGCATAGCCTCATCCTTCGGTGTGTTGTCGTTGTTGGTGACGAGAGCTCGGATGTACAGCAGTTTACAGCCTACCCCACGCATGGCCAGGAGCATCAGCGTAGCGTCAATGCGATTATCAAACGCCAATAGAGACGCGGAATAGCTGACTGAGTTACATGTGGCTTGTACTAGCAGATGTGGCTCTTGTGGAGTGTGGATTGTGATGGACCAACGAGCGGTAAGATAGTGCAGCTGGCAACGTTATATGATATCCGCGGAAGGAGCTCCGGCATCATGGATGATCGCTAGAGGTAGTTGGTATTGCTCTTTGGTAACGTGGTAGCGATTTGCGCGGTAGTCTGCAAGAGAGAAGACCGTTGCCGGCATGGAGCTACTTCTGGAGGTGCAGAACAGTGGTAAATGTTTCTCTGCTTTCCCATAGCCAAACAAGCCGGGATTCTGAACAGCCTGTGCAGGACAGCCAAGGCCATGGTAGCACAGCGTTAAGACCAGTTTGGCGCGACATAACAAAGTGTTATGCTCTTCTCAGCGGTGGCGTGTTTGCTCTGCGATGATAGGACCATTGTGCGCATTTCTCACGCATCTTAGTGGCAGGTCCTCCGACTCAACGAAATCTCCAACACTTACGTACGCTACAGACTACCCAATGAAGGGCTACGCAAAGACGCGGGTGTCGAACGAACTGAACGTGTTGGCTGACGAGTCGGCAATCCTGGACTGTGCTCATCTTGCAGTCTACAACTTATACGAAGAGGATCGGTCATCGAGCTGATCGTAGGCGGTCGAGCATCATCGAGATACCATCGAACCCTGCAGCTAACTATAACAGTTGGTTCCCATGCCTGCAAGATAGGCATCATGGTATGCAAGCTCCCTGTAGGTACGATCGCGTGCGGGCTGACACATGAATCTGGTTAGTTATGACGAAGAACACTGCCGAGTCTGTGCTAGTCATACCCCCAATGTTCGTCTTCAATCGCCTGGACCTCATCCTGAATCTGCAAGGCGGGTTCAGTTGGTAAGAAATGCTGTAAAGGCGGGGGTTCTGCAAGCCCTACTGGCAAGTTCGCATGCTAGATGTCTCAACAAGCCTTCCGAAGACTAGCTTTCGGGCCACAAGCAACTGGCGGGCCGAGCCTGTTGTGTGCTTCGGCTGCCGCTTACTGCATCGCGTCTGCAGTATGTAAAGCTAAAATCCCAATTCCAATCTTGGAACTTTTGAGTCCACGTGGGGCGTGCTGTCTTCACGCTGCGTAGGTAGTAGACTCCTGGGGTGATCGGTAGCCATGACCTGAAGACCTGGTCGCATACCTAATTCATCTGCTCGTCCATCCGACAGATACTGGACTGTGTAAGATTATAGGTGTCCGGCCTAGACGCGATGGTAGAATGACCGGGTAAAGTCGGTCTCGCATGATGGGCGTGCATGCAGACACCGTATTTGACCTGATAACCTGGTCTGTGGATGCATAGGCGGTCGACGCCGGATCCCCGTCCACCAACAATGGAGCTATGTTGTTAAGCTGGTGGATTACGAGCTCGGATCGAGAAAGATGAACAGTAGGTTCCGCACAAGACGCGAGAAAGTCTTGGCATCTGATGTAGATGGTTGGCGGTCCGTGTGCGGGCGTCTGACTGCTGATGCAGTGTCGGGCAATGATACGCGTTCGCCCTGAGTTACGAAGCATTGATCACCTCGATCTGACCACCAAACGCGTCCGTCGAAATTTCCTTGACCGTATTGTGATGAAGGACTGGCGGCATCGTAGAGCGCGTGCTGGAAGCGTGGAAGGATGGAAGCCACGGAGCCGCTGTCAGCATGGGCCGTCTCGCTTACGGCTTAGTGAGCCGAGTCATGTGATGGTTTCGTCTCGACGCGTCCACGAGTGTAGTCCAACTTCCATCACAATCACCTCTTGATACACTTTCTCGTCATCGCGCAAATAACTTATCCTTGGAACAACTGTAAAATAATCTCAGGCCTGCATCTTTGCGACTGCGCACGACCAGGATTTTAGGGAATTGCAAACATGGAGAAGTAGTGCTTGCAGCAGCTTCAGAGCAGAGCTTCGCGGGTGCTTCTCGTGCATGTACCGGTCCACAAGCAGGTGAAAGTGTAGCGCAAATTACAAAAGCAATTAATCTGACAGATAAACACAACGATCACTCGTACCCTCCGCCTAATATTAGACTTGACGCCTAAACCTCCTCAATGGTCTCTGTTGATCGGCGGGTTGATCAGGATCCCAGCCAACCAAACAATTCACAGTCTCCGCTCCAAGCCCAGGGTCGTTGATGCGGTCGCCAGTCGGCATGCGGAACTGTCCCATAAGTTTGACATACGAGTCTAGCGCATCGACCATAGTCTTTCCAAGAGCCAGAGCCTTCTCAGCCCTAGTATGCGAATAGAAAGTGAGCAGTTCGAGCGCATCTTCTCGCATTCCGTTCTCCACCAACGTCTTGGCGCTGCGCTCGACCCACTCCATATCTGCGAATGAAGCGTTCTCAAATCCGTGGAGCATGTTTTGGACGATGGGTAGGTATGTCTCCGGGTCCGAGCAAGTGTAGTAGAGCACCTGCTTGAAGATGCGTCCGGCGAAGTGCGTGGCTTCTTGATATTGGTAGTCGGTGTCTAAGAAGGTGGACGCGGCATCTTTGTAGAGATAGCGATGGAGGCCGTATTCAGCTGGAACGCTCTTCACACCCAGCCACCACGGGTTGAAGGGTGCGGTCACCGATCCGGTTGGAGCGACCCAGATGCGAATCAGATCCGGGTCCATATCTGCGCTAAGAGACACGACCTGGCCATATCCGGCTTCATCATCTGAAATACGGTAGTCGCGAACGCGCTCGATGAGGTCTTTCTCGGTCACCGGAGCCATTGCGCGGGTGGCGTTCTCAAGAGCCGCTTGAGACATGTACTTCGCGCCTCCATCTCGCGCTGTGTATCCCTCCGCTTGGTAAGCATACGCATTGAAGATGTTGAACGGCTCGGTGCCATTCGGGTTCCACCAGCCCTGTTCGACGGCAAAGCTCACGATGTTCGGGCTACCCATGTAGTCTGTACTGTTTTCGAAATCGACCGGGAAGTCCTCGATGT